GCAATACAAGAATAAAGTCGGAATATTTTGAGAAAAAAAGTTACAATTACGGGAATAAAGTCCTAGCAATACAAGAATAAAGTCGGAATATTTTTAGAAAAAAAGTTACAATTACGGGAATAAAGTCCTAGCAATACAAGAATAAAGTCGGAATATTTTGAGAAAAAAAGTTACAATTACGGGAATAAAGTCATAGCAATACAAGAATAAAGTCAGAATATTTTGAGAAAAATGTTAAAATTATGGGAATAAAGTCCTAGCAATACAAGAATAAAGCCAAAATATTTTGAGAAAAAAGTTAAAATTATGGGAATAAAGTCCTAGCAATACAAGAATAAAGTCGGAATATTTTTAGAAAAAAAGTTAAAATTACGGGAATAAAGTCCTAGCAATACAAGAATAAAGCCAAAATATTTTGAGAAAAAAGTTAAAATTATGGGAATAAAGTCCTAGCAATACAAGAATAAAGCCTAAATATTTTGAGAAAAAAAGTTAAAATTACGGGAATAAAGTCCTAGCAATACAAGAATAAAGTCGGAATATTTTTAGAAAAAAAGTTAAAATTACGGGAATAAAGTCCTAGCAATACAAGAATAAAGTCGGAATATTTTTAGAAAAAAAGTTACAATTACAGGAATAAAGTCCTAGCAATACAAGAATAAAGTTGGAATATTTTGAGAAAAAAAGTTAAAATTACGGGAATAAAGTCATAGCAATACAGGAATAAAGGCGAAATATTTTGAGAAAAAAAGTTAAAATTACGGGAATAAAGTCCTAGCAATAAAAGAATAAAGTCGGAATATTTTGAAAAAAAAAAGTTACAATTACAGGAATAAAGTCCTAGCAATACAAGAATAAAGTCGGAATATTTTTAGAAAAAACGTTACAATTACAGGAATAAAGTCCTAGCAATACAACAATAAAGTCGGAATATAAAAAAAAAGAAAAAAAAAAAAAGGTAAAAAATCTTACTTGAATGGTAGGAATGGTAGTGTAATATCATAAAAAAGAACCATGTAAAATACTAAATGTTAAATATTAATTAAATACATTAAAAAAAAGGTAAAAAATCTTACCACAAACTTTTGAATGGTAGTGTAATATCATAAAAAAGAACCATGTAAAATACTAAATGTTAAATATTAATACTAAACATTAAATACATTTTTCACAATGTAATGAGACTTTGCATTATGCACGTGTTTAGAAGAACTGGGATCAATACCTGCGTCCTCTATTGTGGCCGGTTTCTCTTTTCCAGTGGCATTTGATTCTTCCGGAAAAATACTACACTTCCCAGGATCGACCTTGTGGCTGCTGTCCTGTGAGCTGGTGGCGTCCATGAAGACATCCTGCAAGGAGCTGGAGTCTGACAAGCCAGCAACGCTGTCCTGACTTTGCTCTGATTTAGGGAAAAAAATATACCACACAATTACACTCATTCAACAAGACCTTCATCTTCTGTCCTTTCTAAATATTCATATAATTAAAAAGACCCTTTGATCAGATTGTTTCAGATTCACCCAAATTGCACAATCCACAAATCAACAGAGATCCCAAGATGAATTGTGTAAAAATCCTCCAATGAACACAAGGCTGGAAACATTTGCTGGATTGACAGATTTACAAATGGTAGCTATACCTGAAGGCTTATGTTGGGATAAGGTTTTGGATTTTAACAGAGAAAGGGAAATTAGGATTCTGTACCTGAGAGCATTTACTATCATTTTCTACAAATTAAAGGAATACTAATATAGTGCTGCAAGAATGAGTCCTAAAACCCAGAAACCAGCTGAGTGGGTAATTGGATTTTTTTAATGGGTTTTTAGTTAAATGCCTGAAATAAGGCCCGTATTTAACACAAGCCCAAGAAACGTCAATGTTTTTTCTATGACGTAAAATGCATCAGTAATATCCCACTCATGATTTTTTTTAAAGATATTACGGCTGCTCCTTTGGAGGCAGCATTCCAAGGCAGGTAGGCATCAAGGCACATCCGAATCCAAATTCTGCTTCACTTCCTGTCTCCGGCGGTACCTTCTTCTGATCGACTTTTGAAGGCAGCATAGATGTATCCTTTGCTGCCTTTGATATCCCACAATCCTGTGTGTTCCATTCCGTGACGGTTGAGCTAAAAAAATAAAGATGGCGTCTGAAAGTTGTGTTTGGTGGTCAGTTTGTATGTAAATGTATATTTCTGACGAACTTTTCGCACTTTTGATGTTATTTCTAGCGAGAAATCAGTATTATAGTAATTAAATATTCGTTTAGTTATCACCAAAAGTCGTTCTATTTTGTTCATTCATCATTTATGAGATGACACTTCCCCGCCATTGAGCAAATTTTCCAGGTTTCTGTGTTTTCACTACTATATGGTAGGAAGCAGTATTTCACATCTTCTAAAAAAAAATACTGAATCTCCGGATCAAAACAAGGTGAAGAGGAAGCAGAAATAGGTGATCGCATATGTTAGCTGATGCGTATGTAAAATAGCGCGATCATCAAGCATTAAACAGCATATAAATCAACACCGCCTAATGTTACAGAATTAAATGGACATCCCAGGAAGTGGTTTACGTCTGTGCAAGTGAAGCGATCTACTCCATCTATGTTCTGATTATCATTCAGGAATCTGATCCGGATGTCGTTTTTGACAAAAATGTCATTTTTGACAAATAATCTGCTAGTGAGGAAAGAGTTAAATGAATATTTAAAAGTATTTGGAAGCTAACTTTAATTTTTAACTTCTGGCAATTGTATTTAGGCTTCAAAGTTCATCATAAACTTCTGTTGGTCACAAAGCTTATTTTCTGCAATAATCCAAAGAACAATTCCTAAATTGAAAAATCTTGTTTGGTTTTTGTGGAGAGAACCAGGGTGATGCCAACTTCTGGGTTGCCATTAAAAAAATGCATCACTGCAGCACTCAATTGAACACCAACATGAAAATTCTGTCATTATTTACTCACCCTAATGCTCATCCAAACCCATATGCTCTTAACTTTCTAATGGGCGGTGGGGAGTACCAAAAAAGGTAGTCTATGACTTACAGTATATTCCAAGTCTTAAATTTAAGTAGTTATTCACTGTTAATATTTCCTTTCACAGTAATTCTCATATTTAATTTGTACTTTTGCTTATTCAAACAGCTGCATGGGCTTTCTCCTTTAAGTCATACAGGTTTGGAGGGAAATTAAGGTGAGTAATTAACAAAAGAAGAACTATTCCTTTAACAGGTACAGTGGTTTTGATCCAGGTCTGAGGTCAGAGGTTACAGGGCAAGACCACAGGGTGCACGTTTCAATGCCGTGTTAAACCAGCCTGCTCCTGAGGTAGAGCAAAGCGCTTGAAAATATTGTGCTTCTCAGCAAGCCCAGAAAAGAAAGTTAATATAATTCCTCTTGTGCTGCCCGCAAACAAGCAGAAAAAGCCCCTGAGCATGCTGGGAGTGTCAGTATTTGGCACAGAGGGTAGAAATTCATTAGCACACACCATCACCTCCATGACACAACAGAGTGCGGTGGCAACACCCCTCCCCTCAGTTCGAAGGCGTGAGTGTGAAGGGGAAAAATGACGCTGTGTCAGCGCAAAATTGCAGCCTCCAGTAAAGACGCATTAGCAACTTTAGGCCAACACTGCCAGGAGGCTCATTAGTTGGTCTGCTACAGTTTTCAACAGGAGCTCAAGAGCATGTTAAAGACACAATGAAGGTCTAGACGGGACCCGGTTATGTGCTGGGAAGCGCTGGACAGGAAAACAATGCATTTCAGTGCAGAAAAGATAGATCTGATTGAGGGGGAAAATCACCAATAGAGTAAGAGTGTTGTCAAATTAATTGCACAGAAGAAATGGACATTTGTTTTGAAAAGGACAAGTGTTACTGCATAATAATCTCTGATGTAACACACAGTAAATATTAGAATGGTGTTGGGGTCACTTTCCTCAAAAGCAGAGCACACAACCAAACTACAGTTCCAATTTACAGTTATAAATACTGAGAGAATCAGAAAAATGACCAATGAAAGAGCTCAACAGTCACTAAACAAAAAAATTCTAAATCTTCATTGATAAAATCTTCACAGAAAGATTTTCCTTTCAATGCAGACTTACACAAAAATGTAAGAAGTGTTTAAATGCACATTCTTAGTGAAATTCGTCAAAAATGTCATAGTTTGGCAGGTGCTACATAATGCTACACATTAGCAAAACTTGGCTAGAGAAAAATGTTGTTAATAGTGTAGCGACGTATGCAGCACAGTTCACACAGAAACCAAATTGCTTACTGTTGGTCAACGCAGCAAATCTGCGCGATCTTGTTGAACCTGCTGCAAAATCTGTTTGGGGAAATCATTTACCATCATACAAAATTCCCATTCACGTGGATTCCTATTGAAATGACTGGATTTCGCCACTTTTTCTGTTACATTTTTGGACATTTCCAACAACCCTAAAACACTACATAATGCAATGCGTAATTCAACATATAGGTAAAACACCTGTAAAAGACCTATTGAGATTTTAAACAATGGAGAAGTGCTAATTAAAGTTACTGTTTCAGTGAAAGATTTCATGCCAAAACTATTTTGGCCAAAAATGTAATATATAATATGTGTGTGTATATATATAGATATATATATACAGTGGGTACGGAAAGTATTCAGACCCCCTTCAATTTTTCACTCTTTGTTATATTGCAGCCATTTGCTAAAATCATTTAAGTTCATTTTTTTTCCTCATTAATGTACACACAGCACCCCATATTGACAGAAAAACACAGAATTGTTGACATTTTTGCAGATTTATTAAAAAAGAAAAACTGAAATATCACATGGTCCTAAGTATTCAGACCCTTTGCATATACATATATATATATATATATACACGCAATATCGATTCAGATGAATCGCCTTCGAACTTATGAACGCGATATTGCTTAACTTGTCAGTGAACTACAGCTCTGTTTATTAAATGCTGCTCCATCTGAAAGCACGTGGTGGAGATTTACTACTAATCACAGAACTGGCTTTACTTACGAGATGCGCATGACAATCGCATGTGATTTATCGTGCAGCCCTAATCCCTAAGCTGTCTGGTTTGCTTGAAGGTGTAAAATTCTGTATTAAACAATTTTCTGAAATTCCAAAAGGGAAAATGGAAGCCAAGCCCTCTGTAAAACTTAATGCATAGTCACTGTTGAGCACTATGGTGCTCAGGGTGCTTGACCACTGGAGTTCGTTAGGAAACTAGAGCCCTGCTTTTGAGGAATGATAGGCGAGCCAGCAGTTTTGTGCAATCGGTTGTGCGAGGAAGAGTGTCTGTACCATACACAGATCCTGGCCGCAAAGTAGAGAGACACAGGCAGTAGTCATGGTCATGTGAGAAGTCAGCTGTAGAGGAAATTCAATTTAGAACACGTTTCATAATCTGGAAAGTCATTCAGTTGTATATTTTGGGTACCACTGTAGCATAAATAGAGGAGATCTTTCATTTCCTGTTGTGATGAGAAATGGGCAGCTTTTAGAGGTTATTAGAGTGAATCTCACAAAAACCTAGCCATGTCTGAGTCCTATTTCACCATGTTTTGGGGGGAAATTGTCCTTAATTGTGTTGAAAATGATGCCTCAACGCAAAAACAGGCATCATCTTCTTCATTCAGAATATCTTTTCTTTTGATTATGAGGTGAAATAAGACCTGCATGTGTTTTCGTGACATTCACCCATTAAGGCCCCGATATACTTCAAGCAAAAGCCAAGACTGAAGTGGTGTGACAGCATTTCGAACAAAAATTAAGTCAAAGCGAGTTTCATTTTGAGATAATTTTGGGAGGTCAGGAGCTCTGCCTTCACTGGCATGCAAATCTCCAATTATTGTCAATTTTGTTACTGAAAGGAAAACACGCAGCACATATTTACATATTCATCTAAACGAAAGAACAAAAAAAGAACTTCACTGTGAGTATATCGGGGCCTTTAAAATCAACAATCATACAATAAGAGAGTGAATTCATCAAGTCTTGAATTCTTGTTTCAGCTGATAAGAAGCTAAACTCATCCACACACCAACATTTGCAGAAAAAGCAGTTGAAACTTCCCACTGTCTTTACCAAACCACATTATTCAGAACAACCCACAAGAACAATCTCCCTTGCATATGTGAGCCACAGCAGACACGTTGGTCAGATGTCAGTTTGCACACAGAGCAGTGCGGAGTGCATTGTGGGAAGTCTTTGTTGAATCAGGGTGCTGACCCATCATGCATCCATTAAGAAGCAGCAGGTGGGAAGCAGGTCAGAGGCAGGCAGAGAGGGAGCAGGCAGGAGGCAGCAGGGAGACAGGGAGACTAAAGCAGGCCATGGGAACGACTGAGGAATATGGGCAACATGTCACAATGTTTACCTTTAAAAAAAATAAATAAATCCACACTTCAAATCTGCAGATGAGATGAGGCCAGCCACAACATTTTTTTTAAACAAATATAACATGAAAACGATCAGTGCCACACTACATATTATTAATAATATATTATTTTATGGGATATATTATTCACAGATAACTGGAAAAATTCAAATAATTATCAATACAGAAAGAGTAAATAACAGCCAATAAAAAACCAGCACACCTCTTAGGGGTCGCTCACTCATGAAGTGTGTTCTTGCACAGTTTCGCTGTTTATTCAGCATCTTACGTCATGAGTGCTCAAGTTAAAAATGTTTCAAAAGAATCCATTTCATCTCCATATTCATCTTGCGAGTGAATCAAATATGTTATTCAACTATTCTAGTAACTGTTATTCCTACTATTTACGACATATCTACGTGATTTTTATGATGTTTTAACAAATTATAATATTTTTTCATAAATTGTGAAACTTCAAATAATTTGATCTGCAATTAAAAAGGAGCAGTTAAGAGTCGGTCATACTATGGAATGTAAAGTTTCAAAGCAAACTATTTTGTTTCAATTGCCTGTTTTTATATAATTAGCTCTTTAATATAATTTTTATATAATTAGCACGTTGTTCCAGGAAAATCCCATATAGCGGTAGCTGAATAAACAGTGCTGCCAATTTAGCAATTTTGTTGGTAGATTTAGCAGCTTCTCAGATTACGCTAGCAACTTTTTCTTCCAAAAGCACCTAGCAACAACTTTAGCTATTTTTAAAATTTATTTGGCAACTTTTAGCAACTTTTGATAAGTCACTCAAATGATCAAAAGGTACACGTTTTCATCTAAATTACACAAAAAGAGGAAACCAAAGATGCCTAGCAGTACACACATCACGTGAATTAAGTTTGCAAAAAAAGTTGCAATTGTTCAATAATAATTAGGTGTGTTCGGCTTGAAGCAGCGCTGCGCAGACCCGATCGGTGTATGATATATCAAAGTCGTTGCTGATCAGTTAGTACACTGTAAGAAAAATATCTAGAAAAATGGTAAAGGTACTAGTAATTTTCCAAGACATTATCCATTATAACCTGTAACCTGAAAACACAAAATACAATGCATAATTTAAAATGCAGGTGAAAAACCTGTGAAAAATCAATACGGAAAATTCCTTCATATTAACATAGCAGGACTATTTTTACAGACTTTTCTTAGAGTGTCGCATACTAACTACTAATACACTATAATTGTTCAGAATGTGTAGTTTTACTTTATAGCTAATAAAAAAAAACTTAAATTGTAATTGTTCAAAAATGTGCAAGTGTTCAATAATTCAATGTTGTATTAAAAATACAGTTACTTATTATTATTATATATTATTATATTATGCATTTATATTATTTCACAAACAAATCTAAAATTGACATATAAAATGTTTTTTGCTGAGTTTGATGCAGTGACATAATTTTGCATCATAATTACATGATGACATCATTGCACAATTACATCACAAGGTCATTTAGCAACTTTTAGCAACTCGTTTCGGTGCGACTTAAATGCCTGAGCGATCGATATATTTGTCCTCTGGTTCTCCGAAACGGATGTAATCACCAGCACCGCACGGGAAAAATAATTTCCCGACTGAGAAAATGCAAGTGAACGCAAGTCAGAAAGCTCTAATACCGGTCAAATGCTTCCTTTTGTGATCTGATGTTGCTTTTCATCACAGAATGAGGCAGAAAATATGTTCTATACTGTAAAAAGGCTATGTCGATTAGCAATGGATTATAAATATACTTAATTATTATTAAAAAAAACAAAGATGGCTTGAAGAACACAGATAAACCATATATTTTCGAGTGTTTATTGTCTCCGTTGCATTATTCAAAACGTTTATATTTTCTGTTTACTCAGTAACAGCGACAGCAATGCCTTTGTCCATATTAGGAATTTCCTGGAGCGTCATGAGTTCTGTTACTTGTGTGATGTATATGTGGAGTTTGCGCGAGGGCGTCCTCCGGCGTCCAGTATGAATGAAACAGACATTACATGTGTTTATAGCGCTAATAGCCAATCCATCCAATTTTGGATAATTTTCTTCTTTTTTTTTTTTTTTTTTTTAAGTATCGGTTTAGGCACCGTTTAGTCACTGGTACCGTTTTAAAAGTATCAATTTGGCACCATTATCGTAAAAAACCCAAACAATATCCAACCCTAGCAGGGCTCGCAAAATCGCTAGCCTGACGTCCCGGTGCTATTGTGTTTTCCAGTCGGGCTACCAAAATGTATCACCACTCTGCCCGACGGGCTATCTCTTAAATGCAGATCTCCCGCGGGTCCTTAAAAACTTAAGGCCATAAAAAGTTTTAAATACGTTAAATGGTATAAGAAATGTCTTAATTATAATTTCAAGAGGTTTTACAGTTGGGGACGGAAAGACAAGAGTCGCGATACGGCTGGATTAAACTTCAAAAGGCAATGATGTCATTGAATAAATATGAGCGCTGCACGTTTCATGTCAAAACGCGGCGCGGATGTCTTTAAGGCTGAAATGCTGTTGTATAAGATTTTTGTTTTTGTGAAAACCTGTATCTGAACTGTAAATCATGTAATTTTATGGCTCAATACTGTATGTTACCATAGACATTGTCCAACCCCACTCATACGGTGTTCATTTTACTTGTGCAGCTCTTAAAATGGGTCATAAATTGCCTTAAATTATTATTTTTTTATTCTGCAGATACCCTGTAAATAGTGAAATAAAATTCCTTCCTTAATATTTGTTGATATTTGTATATTGAAAATATTTTTGATTGCCATTTAAACTCCTATCTGATTTTCTATACTTAAAAAAAAAAAAGGTCTTTTTTTATTTGGGCTAGTTAAATAAATTTTCGGGCTACCAAAATCTGAAGAGTACCTGCCTGAAGGGCTACCAGGGATTTTGAAATTTTGTGAGCCCTGCCTAGAAATAATATGTTGCGTGCCTCATTCTGTGTAAGAAGCCACATCATCTAACAGAAGGATTTTATTTCAAACACTCAACTGACGTTATGAAGTGAGTTTGTAGTAAAAACGTGTTATTAAATGTTGTCTTTTGGACAATAGGTTCGTTAATGCTTCTCATGTTTGGAAAGATGTTTGACTCGTGTTCCTTTTTCAAATGCGTGTTATAAGCGGGTCAATCATTTACAACTCAAGCATTTACTACAGATCACAGAGCACTAAACTGAACGATTTAATCGCAATTTCGTTTCGATTTCCATAAATTGTGCAGCTCTAGTAGCAAAATGTCATAATGAGAAATACTCATAGGTTTTACCGTAAAAAATGCATTATGAAATATTTCACACATATTTGATTTATATAGCTACATCATATGTAGGCTACATCTCAAAAACATTGTCAATTCATAGCCATGCAAGCCACATGCTATTTAGCGTTGATGAACACAAGAAGAGCTTAGCAGTTTAGCCCCTGACAATCCACCTAAAGACCTAAGTGACTAAATCTAAGAACTGTATTTCAGAAAATGAGCACACCAAGCTGAACTTGACTTCAGCAACTAGGTCAACGCCACCATCTGACACAGTTTCAAAAATACTGACTCCATTTCATCAAAACAGGCCACAAGCAATATTTAATCAAGTGTCCTATGCAATGCCCCCTTTCAAACTACTACTACTACAAAAAAAAACATCTCAAACTCAAATATTCAAACTATGTGAATTTGAAATGAGATAAGAAGAATTCATTTTCATATTATTTTGGAATAATAGTTTTGTGATACTGAACCTCTCAAAAGCATGACTAAACTGGAGAACTGATAGAAGTTACCACAGTATAGAAATGCTAAAAGCTGACAAAGAGCACTGTGACATTTTAAACATTAGAGACCAAATTTAGCTTGTGTTGTCAAAAGACCCGGTACTTCGGTACCAAGTCGGTATTAACAAAACACTTTAAAGACCAACACCCGGATCAAATGAAAGAGTTCAAGCAGGTAAGTTTCATTTTAATTTAATTTTTAATAATTAGATCTTCTCAGTGTTTCCAATACATTGATTTATTTGTGGCGCCCGCCACAGTATCAAAACTCAACGCCACAAATAGATTTTCCAAAAGGCTTTGACTTCGTTGAATAAACATGAGCACTGCACGTGTCAAAGTCAAAACCCGGTGCAGGTGTTTTTATATCACTGTATTTCTGAAGGAAACCGACTGTCTTCAGAAAATTATCAGTCATTTTCATTTCATCTTGCCTGTAATGCCTGAGCAGCGTTTGTGAGCGCAGCGCTTATTTGATTACAGCCATTACCGGGGAAACCTCTTTCTTTCCCGCTCTACAAGCGCTTCCTGCTGGCACAGAATGAATTTGCATATATATGCCGCCGCAAATAGAGTGCAAGTCTGGGGGAAACACCGCTTCTGTTATGAATATTATTCAATATATTAATTTGAATGTCGGATTGAAATGAACACTTTTTTACACACCAGAGGATTTTAAATGAATTGTGAATCTAAAATATGCGTGTTAGAGAATGTGCAAATGGTTAACATTGTTTGTGTCATATCAGTCCAGTGTTTCCCCTGCCATTATATTAGGGGGGCGGCCCGTCCCCCAATGGCACCCCCCGCCCCCCTTGAAGGTCAAGTTAATTTTAATTATATTTTCTCTATAGCGCCAGATCACAACAGAAGTCATTTAAAGTTACCTTTCCGATAGAACAGGTCTATACCTTGTTCTTTTATTAAACAAACTAAATAGCCTTATGTTATTTATCTTATTTCTTTCTCTACGTTATGGTCGCGCTCTCTGTATAACGCACAGCGGAGTTCTGCCCCCGCACGCGCACACACACTCACACACACACGTGCATGCACACACAAGTGAGCACACTCCCACTCCCACTAGTATTTGTAAATATTAAGCCGCAAAACGACTATTTAAATATGAATTCTTTGTGTCTCTGTGTTAATGAATGGCGCAGACATGCGGTTTTGTTTACCACTTGTACTGAAGCCTGCATGACGCTTTGTACGTAATAGGCTGCTACTACTACTACTACTAAAATTATTAAAACCTTATTTTTAAGGAATAATCATACGATATTTCTTCAATGTTTTAATTGTAATATTAAATGACCTTTATCTTCCAAAAAATAAAATTTGTTTAATTTTCATTACTTACAATATAGATTAAATGAATATTTTATGCCTTAACAATGTAAATACACAACACAGAATTTCTGAGCAAAAAATCATAAGGCTATTGTAAGAATAAATGGAACTTGTTTTTATGCTTTCAAATAATTAGACATGCTAAATCAGAATTTGGTAACAATAAAACATAAGGTTGGAAAAAAGAAAACATTTCATAGGGCCCTAAACATGTACTTTATGTAAATTAATGTTAAATTGTTTAAGTTTCATGATTGTAATTAATTAGAAATGCTTTTTGATGCATAAAATTTAATTTAACCATTAAAAAGGAGTTCAGAAAAAAAAACGTTTTTTTTGTTATTACAACCCTTGCCAAAGTAAATGAATGACAAAAGTCACTATGTTGACTTATTACATTGACATGACATAAAATACTCAAAATAACAAGACAGAGTTGACTTACTAAATTGAAACAACAAAATATTAAGTCAGATAACTAACTTGTCATTCATGCTCAGCACTCCATCATTACTTAGCCAGCTATCTAATACTATGTTGAAATAAAACATCAAGTCGACTTACCATACTAAAAGAAAAAGTCCAAATAACTAGAAACAGTCAACTTTCTAAGTTGACAATGACAAACTACTTTTGTCAAAAAAAACAAGATACTAAATTAAAATTACAAACGACTAACTCGATTTGAAATTACAAAGCAAAAATTATTAATTAAAACTATTAATTTTTACTTAGTAAAAATACAGATATATGAAGTCACTTCAATAAGTTGCCATAAAACACTTTAAAGACACAAAGTCAACTTACTAAGATTAAATAATAAAATACTACATCAAAAATAAGATACTAAGTTGACTTACATTTATGTAATGAATTAAATACTAAGTTGAAATGACAAGATGTTAAGTTGACTTACTGAGCTGAAATAATTATCTTGTCGAAATAAGACACTGTCAACTTACTAAGAAAACTAGCAGAACACTAAGCTGAGACAGCAGTTTACTAAGTTGTCTTACTACGTTGAATTATTGAGATAAAGTAAATTTTCATTAAAACAGAGCATTGTGAAACTTTAAGCCATCATGACATCAAAAAAAATAATATATACTACTCCCATAAGGCCAAAAGGAACTGCATTGCTCAGAAGCTTCCACCACACCATTGCTGCACTTCTGACCTAATTAATGTAAAATGTAATAAATGGCCAACCATGATGAAATTTAGGTTACCTACAGCACAAGATCAGCACCAGTGCTAGCTAGCATCTGCTGCCTTAAATTGTTGATACAACCAATCAAATAAAAAAATAGACATGATTTACTGGGTGAACAACTGTTAAGCACATTCATAATTTGAGCAAGAACGGCAAGCGCAAATAAAACAGCGGAAAACACAAAATGATGGTATTTTGGTGGACTGGGTGCGTACGATGTGAAAGCAATTCAGCAGCGTAAACAACGATGAATAAACGTAAACCATTCTGACTGAAAATCTGATTTCATTACCTGAAGGCTAGAAATGACAAAGTGGAACTGAAACAAAGCGAATAAAGAATAAAAAAACAACAATGCTGAGACACTGTTAGCAATGTTGCCCATTTTCCCATGATCCTCTATGGCCTGGTGCAGATGGTAAGAGGAGGGGAGGGAGGAGATGTTATTGTACACCAGAGCCCATAATTCAATTTCATATTGTTGAATAACCTTCATCATCCTCATTCCCCCGTGCATGAGTGAGTGAGTGAGTGAGTGAGTTATACTCTGGCCCTTGTACTATACCGTCCTGCGGCTGCTGCTGCTGGAGCTCCTGCCCCTGCCTGTGCCTCTGCTGCAGGCTTTTACGTTTGATGTAATCGTGGTCGACCGGAGTGACCACGTACGGGGGAGAACTCGCACCTGCCGCACCGTCGCCAGGCAAAGAAGTTGTTGGAGCCACCACAGATGTGACAGATGAGGTGGCCAACGCTGCCTGACAGGTACTCACGCCAACCGAGGAGCGCGAGTCCTCATCGTTAATGGATGGAAGCTTTTCCCTGTTGGGAGAAGAGAAAAACAGTGTTAACAAAACAAAAACACAGAAAGATTCTATTAAATGTAGGGTTGTTTTAACACTGTTAAAGAACATCTTAAAAAGTCTCTTAAACGTTTTTGACATACAGCTGTATCTTAGAATCTTAGTCTATGTTTTACGATCTTAAGCTCTCCAGGCCTAAAGCTTAAGGCTACGTTTACACTAGTATGTTTTCGTTTTAAAACGCTTAAGTTTTGCTACGGTCATGCCTGTCATTTACACTACTCCGGCGTTTCAGACTCTCAAAAAGAGACTTTTGAAAACGCTGCAGACCCCGTTTTAGTTTGAAAACTCTGGGGTTGCGTTTCAGTGTAAACACACCAAAACGGAGACTTTTGAAAACGATGGTCGTGGCTGCCCACTTTCGCTCTGCGTATCCTTGACGACCGTGTAAACAATAACATCATGCTCATAAATGGTACCCATAGATTTGTATACACGTTATTCCTAAACGCGGAAATAAGCCTATGGGTGAGACGTCTGGTTCATTAGTCGCTATAGGGAAATAACGAGATAAATAATGTGCAGTAAACGGTAAATCTGTTTGCATTAAAAACCAGTGTGTTCATATTTAAGATAAAATACACTAAAATAATATGGTAAGACACACCAATTTGCAGTATCAAGCAGCAAAACCAGTGGTTTTGTACAGCTAAAAATAGCTGGAAGCAAATGAGACCGGAAGCAAGACCCGTAGAATTTTTACGTGCACCAAAAAGAGCGGTTATGTACAACTAAAAATAGCTGGAAGAAAATGAGACCGGAAGCAAGACCCATAAAATTTACAAATGGCTGCGCCCATTTTTATGTGAAGAATAAGGTGGATAGGTAGATTCCCCATTCGACCACTCCAAGCACATAGACGCGTCTGCCATCTAAATAATAGGGCATCTCAAAGACTTAAACTACTTCAGTCTGTGTGCATTGAATTTATTTAATAGATAAAAAGAGTTTCACAATTTGAGTTGAATTACTGAAATAAATTAACTTTTCCACGACATTCTAATTTATTGAGATGCACCTGTACATAGCTATGGTTGTACCTGCATGAATGGTCATGTGACATGCGTTTTCAGTTGTGTAGTGTGGACAGAGATCGTTTCAGAAATGCAGTGAAAACGCCAGTGTAGACGAGGAACGTTTTCATTTTAAAATGCCGTTTTAAAACGAAAACGCACTAGTGTAAACAGGGCCTAAAAGGTTTGTGGTCATACTTGTCGATGCTGGTTTTGGGTGCGGTCTTTTCCTCTCCGCGTGCAAAGGGTCCGACAGCAGCTTCAGCGAGCATGTTGAAGAACAGCTCATAATCTAGTAGCTTCATCTGCTGCTCAGATTGTTCACCATCATCTTCCTCATTCTCCAGCAACTTCAGAATGGTGGCGCTCAGGCGGAAAAACAGCTGGCCAGTCGGAAGTAAGAGAAGAGATATATTTCAGGAAGAATTAAAACGCAACTTGTGTTTAACTGACATTTTGTCATAGTATAGGAGTACTTGCAGTACACTACCATTTAAAAGTTTGGGGTCAGTGTTGTTTTGTTTTTAAGAAAATTTTATTCAGCAAGGATGTATTAAATTGATCACAATAAAGATTTTTACATTGTTATAAATTTCTATTTTAAATAAACGCTGTTCTTTTGAACTTTCTATTCATCAAAGAATCCTGAAAAAGATATGCTATAAAATATTAAGCAGCACAATTGTTTTCAACATTGCTAATAAATAGAAATGTTTCTTGAGCAGCAAATCAGCATATTAGAATGATTTCTGAAGGATCATGTGACACTGAAGATTGGAGTAATGATGCTGAAAATTCAGCTTTGAATCACAGGAATAAATTACAATAGAAAATGTTAATAGAACATTCAAATATTTCCAATTGTAATAATATTTGACAATATTACTGTTTTACTTTATTTTTTATCAAATAAATGCAACCTTGGTGAGCAAAAAACCCTTGTACCAACTTTTGAACAGTAGTGTACAAATGAGCTCTATTTCACTACATACCTCTAAGGCCTCCATTGCGAGGTCAGGTGGGTTGTGGTAGTGGATTTTGCGTGGGTATCTGGCTGCTTCCTCATGCAGGTAGTGTGCAGACTGGAGGAAGATGACAAAAGGGCTGTAATGAGATGCATGTCTGACTGTTGGGCGGTCAGCAGCTTTCACACATAAAACCCCAGCAACAGCCTTACATGCTTCATACATTTTTCTCCACCAGTAATTAACTAAAAAAGTGGGCATTTCATTCCAAAACAGAGTCAGACCTGAAGGTGAGTTTGCAATCAAGTGACTAAAAGTAGACTTATGTCGGAGTGTCCTAATCATTCTCAAACTGTATCACTGAACTGTTAACGTGTTTTCATACCTGACTGGTTTAGAGCATTTGTTTAGGAACCTGGCAAGTTTTTTCTTTAGTTCAGATCATTTGGGCATATAAACACTATATGCAATATGCCCGGATCCACGCCAAAACAATCAATCTGAGATTGCCTGAATAAGTTGGTCTCTCTCAGCCCAACTGACATAGAACTGTGGAGCGGCTCGGTTGTGATGAGAAATCAATCCGATCCAACAGACCAACAAACCAAGCAGCATCAGAGTTAATGGGAAATGCATTATATATCTCTATATAAATTTAATGAGGTGGAGCAGGAATGAAGGCTTATTTACATTCGTATAAGTGTGTGTGTGTGTGTGTGTCAACAACAGTTACAGATAAAGCCACAATGGAACCCATGGAGTTAACTTGTCAACTGTGATGGATGACGCTATGAGTGAAATCCCAGAACATAAATAGATGCACTCTGACCAATGAGACGATAGATTTACTCCAGGTACATTTATGCAACAATGTACTAAAAATGGAAAAGCTTTTTCTTAGCATTTTTAAAAAGTTTGCCTACACATGACAATGGTGTCAAAATGTTTCCAATTTACACGAATACGCGAAAACAGCTAAAACGCTGTATTATGTTTGCCAGGCCACTAGTTGGCGATGTCACTTTGTAAAGACACTCGCGCATGCCTACAGACTGAACACGTAATACGTATCTGCATGATTTTTTTGCAGTTAACATGGAGACGATAACGGTATCGTTTTTTTTTTTTTAATTAAAAACGGGGGCACTTTGAAACCGTTTTCAAAAGCTTACATTATGAGGCCCTCAAACACTGTTGCCATGTAAATTAACAGCCAAAATACAAACCATTTTTAGTTGAAAACTGCGTCATGTAAACACCCCCTCACATGTGGCACATTTTGGTATGCTTTGACCCAAACTGATTTAATTAAACTTTGTCAATTGTCTTGTTATAGTGACACATTATATTGACACTATTGTCTTTAAGAGCTGCTTTTCAGCAGAATCCGAATTATCTTCATAGTTGCATTTCCATAATTGATTCTGCTATTTTCCTGTTTATTTCTGTGAAGCTGCTTTGACACAATCTGTATTTTATAAAGTGCTATAGAAATAAAGGTGACTTGAATTAACTTGAAGCGAAACAAACAAACAAAAACTGCAATTTTGTAACAAATTAAGCTCCCGTTTTGGAACAAAGCAAACAATGTACAGGTCTAAAAACGCCATTAAACAATCCTGGTGATAGATGTCATGCATTCTCAATAGCCAATCAGACTATCCACCAGGCCAGCTGTAACCCAGCTCATCACCTTTTTGTATAGCTGCAGGTAGTCTTTGGGCAGCAGTTTGTGCTTCTCTGCAATCTTTCCCAGCATATAGTGAATGAGCCACTCCTCCTCATCACCGCCACAGTGTGAGGCGCTCTGAAAGCACTGCGATGCCGTCTCCAACATCGAGTCCCTGCGCTCTTCCATCTTTAAAAACAAACAAAACAGTAACTGCCACAAATCTCTTATTTCTCTTATACACACACTCATAAATTGTTTTGTACACAATCGCATGTCTCTCTTCATCTATACAAACAGAAGTACCTGTTTGATCAAGTCAGGAGGAAGTTCGTGTTTCCACTGTTTGAGCTGTCTGGAAGCGAAAGAGTGCAAGGCATAGGACATGGTACCATACTCGATCCATAGGGAGAGGTTGGAGCTGTCTATCTCCAGAGCCCGTTTGAAACAGGTCAGCACTGCCAGAGAGTTTTTCCAGATGGGTCCGTCACTCCTGAGCTCATTGGAGTTCAGCTTGTCCTGGATTCGACTGGCGCGTGCCAGTGCCATGCCTGCCCACGAGTCAAACCTACGTGAGAGACGGAGAGACAACAGTCACCTACAGCTGAGCTAACTACATTCATGTTAAAAACTTCAAATGTAAAACTGTCGCAGACCTGTTAGGACACATGCAGATGTCGTGCACGTAGAACTTGATGGCTTTCGACTGCTCTTTGTTTTTGAAGTGGTAGTCCGCTAGCAGGTAGTACAGCTCGTTAACCACAGGGGGCGCCGGGGAAGCTCCTTCTGGAAGTGCTGGCACCTTGGAGAAAGAGAAATACTTTTAAGTGACAGATGAAGAGATAAAAAAGATCTATATATGAACGCATGAAAGTCGATGAGCTCATACCTTGAGAGCACCTCCTTCGATATAAGCAGACACATCGTCTACAGCGATTGTGGGGCCGTCGTTGCGTGGGATTATTCCAGAAAGCCTTTTAAGCAGGTTGGCAAGGTCAACAGAGACAGTGCTGGTCTTATAGCTGTCAAACTCTGGCAAGGTCTTGGGTTTAAAGTACTCAAACATAAAGACGGCATCATCCCAATGAAGCTCCACCTAGAGATCGGAAGAGATAGAGAGATGTATCAATACTATGTACTCAGGGTCCAAAACAGTTTTATTTTAGGATTATTTATATATTATTATAGTATTTATTCATTTTTTGAATTAGCATTTATTTTAATACATCCAGCTTTCATTTAAGTTTTAGTTTGTTATATTGTTATGAGCTTTTATCATTATTAGTATTTTGTTTAATATTTCTATTTAGCTTTAATTCATTTTTATTTTAGTTTTAGTCATTTTATTATTTCAATTTTAATTTAGTTAACTTCCATTGCAATATTTGTAATTTTCATTTAAAAATTTTAAGTTGAACATTTTCATCTAATATTTACATTTTATTTGATTTCATTTCAGATTTCAGTTAACGAAAATTGTTTTTAATAGTTTTAGTTTTAATCTTTGTTTTAGTCAACAATGACAACATTGGTTCAACATTAACTTTTTGCCACTAAATTAACCTACCTGCCTGTAAATTGAGATTTTATTAATCATAAATATTTCCAACCAACAAAACTACTATACTATACTACTATACTATACTATACTATACTATACTATACATATATATATACAGTGGGTACGGAAAGTATTCAGACCCCCTTAAATTTTTCACTCTTTGTTATATTGCAGCCATTTGCTAAAATCATTTAAGTTAATTTTTTTTCCTCATTAGGCTCTTCTCCCCCGATAGCTCAGTTTGGCCGGATGGCCAGCTCTAGGAAGGGTTCTGGTCGTCCCAAACGTCTTCCATTTAAGGATTATGGAGGCCACTGTGCTCTTAGGAACCTTAAGTGCAGCAGAAATTTTTTTGTAACCTTGGCCAGATCTGTGCCTTGCCAGAATTTTGTCTCTGAGCTCTTCAGGCAGTTCCTTTGACCTCATGATTCTCATTTGCTCTGACATGCACTGTGAGCTGTAAGGTCTTATATAGACAGGTGTGTGGCTTTCCTAATCAAGTCCAATCAGTATAATCAAACACAGCTGGACTCAAATGAAGGTGTAGAACCATCTCAAGGATGATCAGAAGAAATGGACAGCACCTGAGTTAAATATATGAGTGTCACAGCAAAGGGTCTGAATACTTAGGACCATGTGATATTTCAGTTTTTCTTTTTTAATAAATCTGCAAAAATGTCAACGATTCTGTGTTTTTCTGTCAATATGGCGTGCTGTGTGTACATTAATGAGGAAAAAAAATTAACTTAAATGATTTTAGCAAATGGCTGCAATATAACAAAGAGTGAAAAATTTAAGGGGGTCTGAATACTTTCCGTACCCACTGTATATATATATATATATATTCAGTTTTATAACAATGATTATTTTTCTTAGAATTTTATTAAAATTATAACTTTGTCTCTGACAATGGAATTTTGACAATTTTTTCTTTCTCTGTCAGTTTTTACCATGTTAATTTTGGCCTGCGTGTATGTCAAGGAGATTTTGCTGTACACACATGAGTGGAGAGTTTTAACTAGGGATTTCTGTCAATCTGTGAGTGAGAACAGACTCTTTTGTCCCCCTCAGGAATAACATTAATATGAACAACGGCAGGCATGCAGTAATATTCTGCACTCTGTGATTTTTTTCATTACCTGAACTATTTGACAATACTGACGAGTGACAAAAGACAGAATTATCCATTCAAACAAAAATCAATTTCCACGCTGGCATTATGACAACGTTTTTGCGGAGAAATGAGCCAAATGTCTATAACAGGGCCGAAAAATTGTGCCGATTAGTTTTGATTTATAACACCAACAATGCAGAATCAGATAAATAAAAGAAACCTATAACAGATTATACTGTTGGTTAATTCATTCAGAGAAGAGATAGTGGCTGGAATTCAGAATGAGTTCAGAAAGCAAGGATCGAGTCATTTGTCCTGATACTGATTCTAAAAAATAGGCAGAAAGCATCTGTAATTATGCTGCCTTTTAAGATTACAAGTATCCTTTGTGGATCACACACTAAATTCACCCAAAATTAAAGAAAAAGTCAAGAGAAATGTTGATGTGTGAAAAAAAGGAATACAAATGTATTATTTAGCTGAGAAGCATGCAGATTTTAATAACCAAGGCTAGGGGCAGTCTTGGGACAAAGTTAAATGCAGAGCACAAATTCCAAGTATGTGACACCATACTTGGCCACACGTCACGTCCTCCTTAAAAAACCCAAAATCACCACAAACATTGACTTTTTTTTGGTTTGTTTTTCTCTTTTACACCAGTGGTGCAGTACCTCGCAGCTGCAAAGACTAAGCGCAGTTCAATATTTGCTAGATGCCTGCAAAAACACAAGCAGCATCTACACAACGCAATCCGTTTCCTCCAGAGACACAGGAATAGGTGCAGAACACCTCGGTATTGTACTTTGGTGGTGTGCACAGCATTTCCTGTGTACAGAGCAGTCCTGCATAATGGGTGTGTGGGTGGCTAAATGATCAATGTGACTCCTGCTGCCAAAAGATAATCAATCACTGAATTATTGCTGAATCAGACCGCCAACTCATCCTACCCAACATCCACCTACCTTCATTAGCACAGGGACAGTTCTCCTTCTCTCTTTATAAAGCTTCTTAGATATTCAAGACATAAAATGAGTACGCAGGAGACTTCGGTAATTCCCCAACATGACTCTGAAGTCAAAACCATTGACTTAACTACATTTTGTGGTAGAATATCATATCAAAGCTAAAATATTACAGCTTTATTTACAGTTTTTCCCAACATGTAATGGTTTAGTGTGACAATCATTGTTGTTCATGAAACATTCAGAGCTGTTTAGTGGGCAGAAAACATTGAGTGATTGCACAAAGTATATTGAACAAGAAAAGGCACAGAAAAACAAGTGAATCAACCACACTCTCCTTGACTGTCTTATCTATCAAGCAGAATTGGGAAGTTGATTCAGTTTAATGAATTGAATCAAATGCACTGAAAAAAGTCAGCTTGAGACTAAATTGTTCCTAAATCAGCACGGACCTGGCAATACATTACATTAACATCTGGGTCACGAATCAATAACACTGTCTGGGCCAAAAAAAAAGCCATTCAGCCTTTTTCAATGTGTTTTCAGTTTGATAACGACAAAAATTACAATGCTTTTGTTAGTAGTTGCTGTACCGCTGCGAGCTCATTTATTAAAAGAACAGCTTAAACCCTAGCTTAAAAGTTTATTTCACCCCAAAATCATATCATAGTCATATCATTTACATAATTGGTTCTTGCAAATCAAACAATAATATCAAATGGTTGCGTGTACTTTCAATAGAGGGAAAATTTTCATTTCTGGTCAACTATCCTTATAACGAGACTCTGCTGTCTCTTAAAAAACACTTCTATGCTGTCACAATTTCTTATATTCCTCCCTGTGACAGCTTGTTGAAACTTTGTATTGCTAGCACTTCTCCTGTTATTGCCTCCTTAAAAAAAAAAAAAAGAGTCTGCTAAATTAATGAATGTATATGTAAAGAAACATTCAGTTTCACTTTGTTATGTGACATTTCTGAGTGAAGCAGGATATTATAAAGGGTTGTATTAGTGATGAATATGATTTTACTTTGTCTGCATGGCCTTGGTTTTTTGAACAAAGACTAAGCTATTATTTTGATGAAAGATGTTGAAAACAAACATTTATTATCTTGCATACACTGAAGAATTGTGCACATCAGTGACATTCAGAAAGGGAAGTGTGTAAAACATGCTCATATCATTTTTCATTGTGAGTGCACCTGTGGGGCAGAATGCTCCTCGAGGTATCGGGCTTTGCTCTTCTTGCTCGGGTAAGCATACAGGCAGAAGAAACACTGCTCTAGTGCCGTCTCCAGATCCTCTTTATATGGCAGATTCTCATGTCCCGAGAGCCTCTCCCGCAAAACACGCACCTCAAAACAGACACATGATCATTAGACAGCAGAATGTCTGTGTTTTTAAAGAAAAATGGGGTCAGTAAGATATTTCTTTTTTTGAAAGAAATTAGTATTTTTATTAGTGACAGTAAAGACATTTATAATGCTGCAAAATATTCTATTTTAATTAAATGGTTTTGGTTACACTCTATCTTAAGGTGTCCTTGTTAAAGTGTAATTATACATTTAAGTACTGAGTAATATTAATTAACTACATGTACCTACTATAAGGTTAGGATTAGGATTAGGGTTACTTGCATGTAATTATGCATAATTTATTGTTATTATAATAGTAAGTACATGTAACGTGTAACAAGGACACAGTAAAATAAAGTGTTACTTCAGGTTTTTTTTTTTTTACTTTATACTCAAAGAATCCAGAAAAAAAGTATCATATTCCATCAAAATATGCACTGTTTTCAACATTGATAATAACAGATGTTTCTTGAGCAGCAAATCATCATATTAGAATTTCATCAAAAATATCTTAATACTGGACTCCAGACTGCGACTAAATGGTCGCATTTTGTGACAATTTTCACCTCGTTGTTCAACTCATAAGCGCTTCCATTTCTGTTGCATATGACAAACATCAAACAGCAAACAAAACTTTTCTTTTTACTTTTCTTTTTGAAAAGCTTGTTATCTTTGCTGTTTACCTCACGTTACGCTATGGAGGCTCTCTTTTATTTATTTTTTTGATTCCTCAGTGTTTGCTAAACTTTCTGTAATCTATTAGTCGGTATATAATACAGCATGTGGTGTAAGCCATGCCTCATCTTATTAATTTTTGTTCATAAACGTTTTGTAAGCTAGTTTGTCATTGTATCTTACTGTATTATTGTTGTTGTGCTTTTTAATTACAGGGTTAGTTCACCCAAAAATGAAAATTCTGTCATTAATTACTCACCCTCGTGTTGTTCCAAACCCGTAAGACCTTCATTCATCTTCGGAACACAATTTAAGATATTTTTGATGAAATCTGAGGGCTCTCTGACCCTCCCATAGACAGCATTCGCATTACAAATGTATCACGACAGTACCATGACGCGAGCGTGTGGTGGCGCCGGCGCTAACCCAGATCCAGCGTGATGACGTCATTACGCCAGATCTGGGTCAGCGCCGCCACACGCTCGCGTCATGGTACTGTCGTGAACGCACGTCCACAAGTGACGCAGTAGAGACGAAAATGTGGAATAAAGTCGTTATTTTTGTTTTCTTTGCGCAAAAAAGTATTCTCGTAGCTTCGCAACTTTACAGTTGAACCACTGAGGTCACACGGACTACTTTGTCGATCATCTTGCTACTTTTCTGGACCTTAAACGTGGTAGTTACCTTGCTGTCTATGGGAGGGTCAGAGAGCCCTCAGATTTCATCAAAAATATCTTAAATTGTGTTCCGAAGATGAACGAAGGTCAAAATCGTCACTTCCTGATTAATTTGCGCTAAAAGTCTTAAAAAGTGAAAGGTGTGTAGATGTATGTAAGCAAAACAGACAATTATCTTTTCTTGTGAAACGTGACAACAAGATCGTGAATTCGATCAAGCACCCGAAGCCCAGCTTATAACAAAGCAAAAGAGCAACTCCCATTCAAAAAATTCAAATCACAAATAATACTACTGATGATAAAGAACGGGTTGAATGTTAACCACTTTCGTTTCCATATAACTATAAACTATGATAAAAGCTCATCAGCGTGCATTGATTAATCCCATGTTGTAGCGCAAAAAAAAAAAAGAAATAGTGAAACCGGTATCATTTTGAAAAATACCGTGATATACATTTTTGGTAATACCGCCCAGCACTAATAATACCCATGACAAAAATCAGGTCACAGAAACATGTGTCGGCATGATATTGTATGAGACTCACAAAAAATTTGAGTAAAGCGCCATCAGAGTTGCAGCACCAGGAGCGACGGCCCAGGTACTCGTGCGCCGTGTTCAGAAGCATGAGGGAGGAGGGCAGCAATGGAGTATCATCCTCTACAGAACACAAACACACACAGCTGTGTCAAAAACACTAGGATATACTAAGATTATCACTACACTGAAATGCTGTTATCTTTCTTTATTTATACCATCATCATCCTCATCTGTGATGTGCTGCTGCAGCATGCAGTCAAAGGCTGCCTCTTCCTGTTTGATGAGGTGGTACAGCAGAATCCATGGCAGCAGTGATGAGAAATGAGCCTCTTTGGGGTCATCAGGTAAGACCATGCTGTTGGCAATCAACTAGAGAATGAACACAAAGACAGCAGTTAAAAAATGAGATTACTCCAATTAGTCTTCAGTGTCACGTGTTCCTTCAGAAATCAGTCTAATATGCTGATTTGCTGCTCAAGAAACATTTCTTATTATTATGATCGTATAGCAACAAACACGCTCCCATGAATCCACACAGACCTGTATGAGGTTGTTGGCGAGGCGCGGGAGGTTTGTGGATCGTGGGGTGTGGATGAGCAGCTCAGGCTTGTCCGTGATGCAGCTTTCGATGGCCCTCAGCAGGGCCGTGACGGTGGACACCCACTCCTCCTTTGCAGAGGGGCTGCTGGGTAATCCAGAGTTCAAATGCTGTATGGCCTCATTGAGAGACACTTCAGATGTCTCGAGGCATGAGCTGTAGTCTTTCAGCCGCAGCAGGGAGCTCTGGGGAGAGAAAAAACAAAGACGGATGTGGGGTCAACAGGTTAAGTGTCTGAAAACGCCACACTTTTGTAGAATTGAGGGTTGAGGAAATGTTCGGTCATACACGTCACATTTAAGACAAATGGGATATTGCACACTTTGAGTGAAGCTAGTCATTCCCATAATAACTAGCTTTTAACATGCTGGCTATATCATTTTGAGCTCTGATATGAATCGAACCTGTCCGAATACAGTATGTCTGTGAGAAAAATAGGATGCATTTATGCAGTAACTTTACTTGAAGCCTATATACACTGCAGTACAAAGATATTCATAATGCCTAATTATATAACATTGCAATGCATCCTATATTTCCTTTCAAAAGTTTTGGAGTTGGTAAGAAATTTCTTCTAAAACATTTTTTTTTAACTCATCAAAGCTGCATTTATTTAATCAAAAATCAAATAAAAACTGTATTATTACGATATAAAATAACAGTTCTCTATGTAAATATATTTTAAAATGAAACTTATTCCTGTGATGCAAAGCTGAATTTTCAGCAATCATTACTCCAGCCTTCAGTGTCACATGATCCTTCAGAAATAAGACCATGCTGTTGGCAATCAACTAGAGAATGAACACAAAGACAGCAGTTAAAAAATGAGATTACTCCAATTAGTCTTCAGTGTCACGTGTTCCTTCAGAAATCAGTCTAATATGCTGATTTGCTGCTCAAGAAACATTTCTTATTATTATGATCGTATAGCAACAAACACGCTCCCATGAATCCACACAGACCTGTATGAGGTTGTTGGCGAGGCGCGGGAGGTTTGTGGATCGTGGGGTGTGGATGAGCAGCTCAGGCTTGTCCGTGATGCAGCTTTCGATGGCCCTCAGCAGGGCCGTGACGGTGGACACCCACTCCTCCTTTGCAGAGGGGCTGCTGGGTAATCCAGAGTTCAAATGCTGTATGGCCTCATTGAGAGACACTTCAGATGTCTCGAGGCAGGAGCTGTAGTCTTTCAGCCGCAGCAGGGAGCTCTGGGGAGAGAAAAAACAAAGACGGATGTGGGGTCAACAAACCACTTTCGTTTCCATATAACTATAAACTATGATAAAAGTTCATCAGTATGCACTGATTAATCCCATGTAGCACAAAAAAAAAAATAAAATAAATAAAAATATTGCGACCAAATCATGTGCTTGTGTGACCAACTGAGAAAGTTAGTCGCAAAAGAGCGACCAGTGGGAAGAATGAGTCTGGAGCCCTGTAATATGTGTTCCGAAGATGAACGAAGGTCTTGTGGGTTTGGAACGTCATTAGGGTAATTAATGACAGAATTTTCATTTTTGGGTGAACTATCCCTTCCTGTGATGCAAAGCTGAATTTTCAGCAATCATTACTCCAGCCTTCAGTGTCACATGATCCTTCAGAAATCATTCTGATAAGCTGATTTCATGCTTATTGATGATTATTATTACAGTTTTAATGGAAACAGTGATACATTTTGGATTCTTTGATTAATAAAGCTTAATTTATAAGAAATTATACTTTTTTGTAACATTGTAAACGTCACATTTAATCAATTTAGGGCCAGATTTACTAAACAGTAGGGCTGGGTAAAAAATATTAATATCTCGATATTAATCGATTCTCATTTTTACGGAACGATATCTAAACTGTAGAGAGGGGCATTTTGCTAAATATATGCACCATATAACATATTCATTATACAGTTTACTGTTCTTCACTGTTCTTCAATGTTTAATTTGTTTGAATAAATCCATTAAGTTTCATTGTTTATATAAAAAAAACCGAATTGAAGTAGAAATATTGATGACATTTAAATATTAATTTTAATAAGTATAATTAATAATTAAACTAAATCATAATTAGTGATTCTTAATAATAATTATTAAACATTTTATATTAAATATAATAATTAATTGAATTTATTAATAATTAATAATTAGTGATTAACACTGTGCTACAAATACTATTTTACGAAAAGTCATTTAAATTTTTTTTAAAGAAAAATAATAATTATTATTATTTCTAATTAGCTTTGTGCTACAAATGTAATTTAGAATGCATTTAATTATTCAAGATAAAATAATATTAAAAATTATAATTATTGATTAGGTTAGAAAATTAATAATAGTTGTTAAATGTTTTGTTGCTATACATTAAAAACATTATACAATAAAGTACTTGCTACTGGAATAGCTATTATGAAAACATCTACAGTCACGCTAATGAACAATGTAAAGCTAGTAGCATGGCAGCTTTTATCTAGTTTTTCCTCAACACCTGTGATGCTAGGGCTGGATAAAAAATATCGACATCTCGATATTAATCGATTCTCATTTTTACGGAACTATATCGATTCTTAAATCCCAAGAAACGATTAATCTAGCCTGTTTTCAGTTAATGGACGGAACATTGAAGGGCACCTCCCATCCAATAAATCGCAATAAGCACTGTGCTTTGGTATTTTGAATATGAAAAAGACTCAGATTTTAAATTCTGTCCATTGTATTGCAGTATTTAAACAATAAATGCCATTTTGGCGCCGTTCACTGTGGAGTGACAGATCGCTGTAAGCGCCTCAGTTCAACAGACGCGGTAGAGTTGATCATCTGCTCCACATTAATACCAGTTTCAGCACAAAATAAGCATGACTAAACA